CAAACACACGCCATCTCCATGTACTGTCACAAAACCCAGTAACAGAGAGTACCAATGTTTTAAAGGCCATTATTCTAAAAATAAAGGGTCCACTGGGTGCTGTCACTGTGGGGTCAGTTGGCATGGAAGATTTGGGGTCAGACACCTCTGATAATATAAAACACCAGAAATCTCCTCCTCTTTTTGTACATTCAGAACCTGAAATGGATCCAAACGATAAACAGGGGAATGATTAGTCATGAAGCTAGGGTTTCTTTTGTGCATTCAAAATACCAATCCAAGCCACACTGGCTGAGACGTTTCTATTGATTTGGGCAGAAGGGTACCCATTAGGTTTCTTTCAAAATAGCAGCCTTTGTGATTAAGAGGAAAATGTCCTGACTCATCATTTCTTTTTCCTAGGAAATTGATTATTTTGGTTCTCATGAAAATTGCAGTGGAGGTAGCCAGTCTCTATTCAAGTTTTCCCTGTCAGTCCAGTCGATTAGGTCCTAATTCCAACACACACACACACACACACACACTCTCTCTCTCTCTCTCTCTCTCTCTCTCTCTCTCTCTCCTTTTCCTATTTTGGCTTCTGCCAAGATTATTTTGCCAAGGCCTTTTGTCCTGGTTTTGCAATGAGGCCCAGAGGATATAAAAAGAGCAGCTTCCAGGTGAACAGAGCTTAACACAACTGTGGCTCAAGCTAGAGAAGGTTTAAGAGGAGCTCTAGTTCTTGAATATAGAAGAGGCCAAAAGGGTCCCTTTGTGTATTAGCAGGAAGAAGGTGCTGGCTGTGGTACACCTGGGCTGTCTGCAGCACTGGCACATTGCTACCGCATGAGCCAGCAGAGAAATCTGTCTCCAATGTACATCTGCTCTTGTGAGCTGGCCACCAGCTGGTATGCACAACATGGGCCAGCATCCAATGGAAAAAAGTAAGAGCTCCAGAGTGTATGCTGTCTTTGAGACTATAGGCAAGAGGAAGGACAAATCAGCATAAAGGCTGTCAAAATCAGACCCCTGGGTTAAGTACAGATAGTCAAAAATCCCGATGCTTAATCAATTTAGCCTTTGTGGGTTAATCTAAACTGCAGAGATTAAACTGAGAAACAACTGGACAGACATTCACTTTTGATTCAGGAAATACAACCACATGCCTACAGTGGATCAGGCCAGAAGCTGGGGGCCACTAGAGCATGGTTCTATGACATGTAGCCAGCAAGGGCTGTGTGTCCACTTCCTTTTCCTGCTGTTCCAGAGGTCTCTGGGATTTGCAGTCCAGAATCACAGCAGCAGGGCCCTCCAGGGTTGCTCACCACTTCCTCTTCCTGCTTCCAGGTGCTTCTGGGATTTGTAGGCCACAGCTGCAGCCAGCAGTAAGTTTTTGGCAGCTCTGTACTTTGGGAAAGGGAAACTTAAGCCCCCTCCCTGGCCCCAGACCCCAGCCAGGGTTTGCCAGGGGTGGGGGCAGTCCCTGCCTCAGTTAAGTCTGATACTACATTCAAACAGTTTTTATCTTATACCAGTTTCAGCCATTTTGAAACTGATTTATGTGCACTGAACATCTGTTCTGTTACAGGTTTAAACCAGTTGCTAATGACTTAAACCGATTAACGTGTAATTTATGTCCCTAGCCCTGGAGATTAACTGATCTGGAAACTAGGTTGATACTCAATGGTGATGTTTTTGCACCAAATAGTCCCTCCTGTAATTGGCAAAGAATCACTTGTTAGTTTGCTGGAGTAGCTGAATATAAACATTTTTTTTTCAAAACATACATTCAGATGCACAGGAGAATCATTAATGGCCCATCTCGGCTGTTTCAAATTAAATAGTTCCAAATGCTACACGTTGCTTTTTGGAAATGTCTGCATTTTTCCCATATGTCTTTGACCTATAAAATGAACATCCCTCAAAATTAAAAGATTACTGCCAACTGTTTTACATTGTTATTTCTCCTTGTTTAAACACTTTTTGTTTTTTGCCAAACTACTTTAGAAAATTGAAAATACAAACCTTGATTAAGAAAAGCACCTAAAACATGTGTTGAGTGGGACCTAGTACATGCTCACAATTAAGCACACTGTAACATGCAGCACTGATGAGAGATACCCTCCTGATCAGGGACCAAATTTATTTTCTCCCTCTTATTTAACTCCTGTGTTTTTCAAACCCTAACCTCTGGTTCTCCAGTAGTAATTATCTTCAGGTGAAATTTGGCTTGCAGATGCTGAGCTACCAAGTTGCAGCCATGAATTATGTATTACAGTGACTAAGTGTTTTATTCCTAGATAAAAGCTAAGAATTTTTATTACCATAGTTGGTCAAAGCTCACTGAAGTCAAAGGAAGTCATTCCTTCATTTCAGTGAGTTCTGGAGCACATCCCCAGTATCTGGGCAAAATTTTTCAACTGAATTTCCTATAACATTGAAATAGCAAATTTGTGTGGGTTTCACTGAACTGAGTTTTAAGAAACAATAAAGAAACCAAAACAGTTCATTGCAACTGATTTTTATTGGCTTGATTTTTTTGTTTGTTTGTTTAAAGTCACTTTTTGTTTTGAAATTTGCTTTAATAAGAAGCCTCTTAAAAAGCACAGATTTGCAGAAGTTGCCTAGGATGAAAGCATGCTACTCAGGCTGAGGCTGCATGGTTTCTGCCTTTTTCTCCTGGCTTGTATGAAATAAAGGCCTCACTTGCAGCCACCTCTATTTTGATGGTGGAAGTCAACTGCTCATATCTTTTCAGAAGGGTATAAACCCCTGCTGTTTTTAAGTTTTGTTAGAAAGCCAACATAGGTAAACAGTGCAAGAAAGTCCTTCTCAAAGGTAATCCCCTGCCAGTGATGCCATGTATGATGTTCAGACAAAGAACACTTGAGCAGGTGATCCTAAATAAAGGTGACAAATACATTCTACTTCTCCTTTATATCCATGGAAAGCAGAGACAAGTGCACTTGATGCACAGGCTGGCCCCTAGTTAGAACCTGGAAAAGTCATTTAGACTTCATGGAGTATCAGATGTAAGAAGCAGGTCTGCATAGTCCTCAAGTATTCAGCAAAAACCATAATGTAAACTCAATATGGAGAACATGCTTAGCTTAAATCTGGGAGCCCAACTGGGTTGAACACATGAGCTATGCACTTGTTGTGAGAAAAGGGCATCAAGCCAAGCATAAAATATTTTAGATTGGCTGGAGGCATGAAGTGCTTTAGTTTTTCCCGAGGGGAAAAAAAACACCTTACCTCCTTCTCCCCTTTGTTTGGGGTTTGAGATGCAGACTAAAGTAAAATCTTGGAGTACTGTCTACACATCTTCATGGCTTGCTGTCAGGCAACTAATCAAAGGAGACAGAGCAGAGTGCAGCTATGAAATGCAGTGTGCAGCTGGACAATCCACCAAGCACAACCCTGTCAGGTCAAAGAAAGAAAATCATGGTTTAATTCCAAAGCTACACACCAAGGTGTCATCAGTCCCCTGACAAAGTCTCTCTCAAACTGTGGGTATCTAAGTCTTGACAAGCAGATACTCACATCAATTCATGCTGATGTCATTGGTGTGCCCCACCTTCCAGATGTGTGCACAAGGGAAGGTTTGATTTTTTTGCAATCTGCTGACCAAAGGAAACTTGCCCAAGCTGAAAAGCTACAGGCAGGAAAAGGACTTTGAGCTCCTGAAGGTCTTTCAGGACTGCTGAACCCAAGAAAAGAAGCAGTGACACTTGCCCAGCCTGGGCAATAGAAAGTTCTGAGTTTTCACGTTGAACAAAATGCAATGCTACAAAGGTAACTGTCTTCAGAAAAGGGCTATTACTTCCTGACTGGAAGAAAAACCAAACCGCTAAGTTGTTGCTCATCCTAAAAACAGTGAATGCTGGGTTTTAGTTTTACATGCATGGGTTTCATTCACTGGGTGGCGGCGGGGGGTCAGGTTTTTTTTCAAGGCTAAGCTGTTTGTACATCTTAGTAATTTCACAACAAAAACAGATCACTAAATTCTCACAGAAATCAGCAAGTATTCCACTAAAAGTAAAGTATCAGCAGTAACGACAGCTAGGATTTCATAGACTGTAAGGACAGAAGGGACCATTTTGATCCACAGATGTAACCGTCTAAATGACAGACCAGAGAACTTCACCCATCAAACCCACAATTTCTGGCTGAGCTAGAACATACCTTTAAAAGACTCCCAACCAGTTGAAAGATGTCAGTCGCAAGAAACCCATCACATTCCCCAGATAAGCACTGCTAATGACTGCTCTAACTTGCTAAATATGTGCACCTTAGAAGTTGTCTGTCTTTGTCTAGCTTTCATTTCTAGCCACTGGATCTCGCCATATCTTTATCTGCTAGATTAAAAGAGTCCTCTGTGATCCTAGGTAAGTACTTTTATATTATGTATTCTAGCTATGTAACAATTATTACAAAATCAAAGTCACAGAGGAGAGAGAGAGATTTAGGATTCAAAGATATAGACTTCCTTAACCACTTTCTAAGGCTTTCAGAGATAGATGCATTACTATTGCATAACACCAATGAATGAGCAATGACATTTAAGACCAGACTGCATTCCCTGCTGCTCTCTCATTACCGGATTAAGTCATTGAGCATTGCTCATTAAGTCATTGAGCATTAGGAGCTTCCTTGCCCTTGCTACCTGTATCAGAAGTACTGTGCCTGGGGGAAAAACAGCTGTCCTTGGCCTTTGCTGCCTCTTGAGTCCTTGTGGATTGTGTCTAGATAGGCAGGGATTGAGGAATAGGCATTCTTCATTTCATTCCCCCAGTATGCTGACCAGGACAGCTAGCTGAGCAGCTACAGAGAAGAAAGGAAGTTGTACCAGGAAAAGGATTGGAATAAACTGTTGTTTGGAGCAAGGGAGAAACCTGGACCAGATTTTGCCTCAGATGGTCATAGTTCAATTGGTTGGGCAATGTACTGGCACTCTGCTTCTTGCATTGTGCAGAATATATGGTGCTGATCTAGCCAAAAAGGGACTGTGATCTTCACAGTGGGGGGTGGGGAGCTCTAAATACTCCTGTAAAACAGATAGTAAATAATAACAGGCATCAAAGGTAACTTCACTCACCTACAACCTGTACATGCATGTGCATGCGCGCGCACGCACACACACACACACACACACACAGAGTCTCCCCCCATCATCTTAATCTTACCAACCACCAATGGAAATAATATTACATAAGAGAAAACAACAATACTTCCAGCAAGCCTACTAAGACTGATCGTATAAGAATTCACCAGCAGGGCCTGGGAAAGGTGAAATGATGAAGTAAAATTTGGACACCTTTAAAACAGGAATAACTAGATCCTATGTTAGCAGGGATCCTACATTGCTTTTCTCATCTACACAACAGAAGTCTAGAGCCTGACTCTTACTGATGTTGAACCAAGTTCCTTATCAGAATGTCTACAGCAGTTGTTGTAAAACACCAGCCATGGTGGCACTTAAGGCAATTGTCCAGCAGGCACAGAAAGGAGCCAGAAGCTGTGGGGGAAATCAAATGGCCCACACTCTTGTGAATTTTACTTTGAATCCTTCTTGACTTAACAGCTTCACTTCTGGTTCTCAGTCAGTTCCCAGACTCCTGGTTTGCTTTTTTTCACAGCTTTTGGCCTCTCGAGGCCCAAACATATGATTATCTCTGATCAGGTTCAGTTTCCCAAACAGCTCCCACCCCCAAGCTCCAGTTTGCTAAGCAAAAATTCAAGTTTTGGAACCTGATGAAAATGCTAAGCTATGAATCTAGTATGTTCATTAATAGCATTGGGCTGAGAGTTCAATAAGAACAGCTCATCTTTCAGGTAAGACAAAATCTTTATGAATGCATTGACATGAGTGATCAAATCACATGCTTCTCCTCTCAAGTTCCTTCTAGGTGCAACAGGAGTGGGATGCTTTACTTGCAGTTCTGTACTTTCTATTGTTACAGTCCCTTCCTAGAAGCTCTGTCAGAGTGTACGGCTGAGCTTGGTTTATGTACTCAACAACCACCTTTTGAATAACTCTGAAGCAATCCTTTTCAACTTTTTTGGAACAGAACTTGCTTATATCCTGTTCCAAAATCAATACTTTGGTTCCTCCTGTCCTGCCCATGGTAATGTTATAAGAAATGTGAAAAGTTAAAATCAGAACTTTTTTTTATTTTAGAAAATGAAATGTTTTCACTGACACAATATATATATAAAGAATTCTGTTTTACATGAAGTTTCAATTTTTTGTTCCATTTTTGGAACAAGAACATTTCAAAATTTGCAGAGTCTTTTGTGAAACAAACCAAAAAAATCAAATTCCCACACAGTTTTACTGAGAAATGTACATTTTGTATATGCATTGAAAACAAACTCAGAAATCTGCACAAAAATAGACCCCAGTGAATAGGAATCTGCCAAACTTAGGGAGAAAGAAGCTACCAACATATGTGGGAAACAGAATTAAAAGGAAAGAAAAGAGGAGAAAAAAAAGCAGAGAGAGGTTTGAAGCTAGAGTTGTGCCAGTCAAGAGGGATTTGGCCGGATGATGTTTTTACTGAATGTAAATGTTGTAAGATATACTTTGATTAATTCTAGTAGACTGCACCAAAGTCATACTTACAACTCCCAGTACATTAATTAATGAGAAGAGGCGGACAGTGACTCATGCTGGAAGCAGCCCAACAATAAAAAGAGGAATCTTAGTCCTCATGCAATTGAAAATGTCCCCAGATCAACACACAGTGCTGGGAGAAAGGTCAGGATGATGATGATAGCAGTAAGGAAAAAGGCTCTTTGATGAAGAACTGTTCCCAAGGAAGGCTGGCACAAGTGCTTGGCACTGCGCACACAAAGAGCAAGGCCAAGAGTTGGCCACTCAGAGGTTTGATTGACTTGCTGGGGTTTATTTATTTATTCTTTGTGGGTTTTGCTCTTGTATGAGGAACTAACTGAAATAGCACTGGAGCTTCACTGCACACAGCCTGAGATGTGGATGGGCCCAGGATTTTGCAAACAGTTTTGGCATTCAACTACCCTGGAGTTGGTCTGGTGGTCTGGCTCCTTATATCTTCCTCCCCCTCTCCTTCCTGTCTCTGGTAGGGCTGCTGTTCATTTTTCGCCTTCCCTCAGTTACAGCCTGATCCTATGCCACTGATGTCACCAAGAGTTCAATGAGAGCACAGTAGAGCCCTTGTAGAGAAGGTGTTGGAAAGATTTCAGTGAGGTTTGGATCAGGACCTAGGGACATGGTAGAGCAGTTAATTTCTCTTTTTTTAATGTCGAAGTGAGGATATAGCTTGGTACCTACGGCAAGACCCTTCTTCCTTGTCTCACAGGAGAGAGACAGGACCCACATTGGCATGAGAGAGGTCGAAGAGCGAGGGCAGAAGGGAAATTAGAGACCTGTTTTGTTATGCTGCAAAGTGAGGGGTGAAACAGCAAACTGCTCTCACACACTTAAGACGTAAGATGCTGTCATCATAGACCCCAGCAGTCTAGCAACATTTTGTAAGGAAGTTCAAAAAATCAATGGGAGGAAAAAAACCTGTCCTCTGATAAAGGCTGGATTCCAACTCCCCCCCCGAGTGATGGAGACTAGATCCTCATTGTCCTGTAAAATAACAGAGAGTAGAGTCCAGCTGCCTCAAAGGGGATAAAGTTTAACTTTAGATGTCAAATATTCTCCAAACTCAGCCCTCATCCGTTCCAAATTCTTTGGCCCAGCCATTCCCCAGCAACTCAGGAAAAAAACCACCAGATTAATTTCCAGTCTGTAGCATTGCTCTATCAATGGGACATGGCCTGCTTAGCTTTAGAAGCCAATTTTGGCTGAAGTGTTGCAGCCCTTAGGAGAAGAGGTTCTAAACAACAAATTGAGAAAGACTTCCATGAAAGCCATAGAGAATTCAACAGCTCGTAAGTGGTGTCACTGTAAATTGTTTGCCTCGGACCTCCTGTTAAACGGACTCCATATATAAAACAAAGAATATTGGGAGACTTTGGAAATCTTCATCTGAGGCTAAAACGTGCAGGCATATGCACTGCATACAAATGAAACTGCTTATATTTGATCCTACAGCTTTTTAATACAATGTAGCAAATTCCCAGGGAAGGCATTCGATTCCCATGGAGAGGAAGGTGCTGGTGGTTTGGGTGGGAGGGGGAACTGAGAGTTATTCAATCTCATTTCTCATTTCCTTCTCTTTAATACAAAAGTCAAATGAGTGTGGTCCTAACCTAATCCTCCATGGAGATTAAACAAAAATTAAAACCATAATAAACGTTGCTGCAGGGCACGATTTAAAGACTCTTATTCCAGGCAAGCACAGCACAGAATATTGCATGAAGGTCGCACCTGAAGTTATCTAAATTTTTCTAAAGAGGATCAGAGATTCTGTGTTCAGATGTCACTCTCAGCCACTTCACTGTGAGATGCTTTCCCACCTCTCCCAGAAGTTAACTCACTCACAAAATCACGCACAAAAACAAGTCACGTGGGTTTTATTTTTAACAAAAATTAGAGCCAATTCTGAAACATCTCCCTTGGGGCCACAGGAGAGAAACAAAGGGAGCTAGCTCCTTGCCTGGTGCTTATGTGGTCACTAGTGCAGAAGGCTTTATTCTTCCATAGTCATTTTTAACTCTCTGGGAAACTAACAGAATCCGAAATCTGAGCCGCAGCCTCAGATTAACAACATTTTTCTTCTCCATGTCAAAACTACTGAGACTCTCCGACTTACAAGCGTGTGTGTGTGTGTGTGTGTGTGTGTGTGTGTGTGTGTGTGTGCGCGTGTGTGTGTGTGTGTGTGTGTGTGTGTGTGCGCGCACGCACGCGCGAGTGAAGTCCACTAGGCAATTTCAGGTTAATTTCTTGGGTTCCTTCTTTAAAAGAAACAACAAACCCTGTACTTGTTTGCTATTTTTTTGCCATATAAGAAAAAAAAGCAGCAGGGTGTGACTTCCCTTCTCACCCACACCATGTCACAGGCCAAGTTCAAACTTGGCAATGGTGGGAATGCTTTGTGTGTGTCCACCTCAAAGCTAAGCAGAAACCAACCTCATGGCACTCATACACCATTAACACTGTAATGATCCATTACATGAAATGATATATTTTCACTCCAGCTTCTCTGTAGATGATAGAAATATATCATTTCCAGCTACTATTAGATATCCACTAGGGGGAGATAGAAGGTAACTTGTTGCCAGGCTGATAGCATTGTAGGAGATCCTAGTTGTATAATTAAGGGAAGGTAATAAGGACACAGGTAGCTCATAGAGGTCAGGGCTTCTGAATACACAAACCTACTTGGACATTGCATCGGGTTACCATTATTAATTAGTTGAAATGCTTGCTACAAGTAAATAGCAGGCAAACAGCTTGCAATTTCTGCAAAGAAGGCTTCTTTGGAGTACAGATGACCACAGCTCATGGCCTCCTGTAGGAATCCCACCGGATCTGCATTCAGAAGGGTGAAAATAGTAATTGCTCCTACTAACATCAATGTCCTTTTAGATTGCCTCATTCTAATGTAAGTGAGGAAAATTTTGCTTAATTGGTGGGGAAGAGGAACAACTGGTGGCTTTCACTCTTGAAGATGACAACTGTCTTGACTTGGGTTGGGATCCCTTTAAAAAGTCAGGTCAGGAAAATAAACCACAGGCAGGATGGGCAATTGGAACAGCCTTGAAACACAAAGACAGCGTAGCAGGGATGGTAAGAGAAAGAGTTAAATCCTGGTCTAATTCACAACGCTTGTTATTTCCCTTGACTGGATGCTGCTATATAGAAAGCGTTCTTCAATTCCACTCAAGCAGACATTTCTAGGCAGACGGATCGTGGCAGCCATGTTAGCTCCTGTGAAGATAAGCATCAATCTGCTCAAGCAAGACTTGTGTTTTCTGGGAGGCCAGAGAGGCAGAACAATTGCTGAATAGAAGCAACTGCTCCTTGAGGCAAGTGGAGCAAGCCAGAGCACTGCAATACGATGAAACCTCAACTCTTGCGTGGCCTGTGTATCTAGCCTCAATATAATCAAGATTGTGATTGTGCAATTGATTCAGCCCCATAGCCCATGCAAGACCTTGGAGTTAACCATGGAGGGGCTTTTCTAGCTTTAGTTAAACATTTTAGGAAAAAAACAAAACATTTTCCTGTTGGAAAACAAAGTTGTCAGGTAAAAACAGAGCTTTCCACAGGAAAAGATCTGTTTTGTCAGAAAGGAATTTGTGGGATTATAATTCT